GGGGGGGGGGGGGCACCTCATTCTCTTCTTCATTCTCCCTTCTGTTCTAATAACCACAAGGTGACATTGTCCAGTACGTGTCCATCACATTTAGTCCCCACCACATGAAGTAAGGGCCCCTATTCCCATTTCACAGGGAAGGAAATTGAGGCTTAGGGGAAGGGAAGGGACCTTCTCAAGATGACATGTCTAGTGAGAGGCTAACTCAAACCCGTTGAAACAAGCACGTTTCTCCCACTGCACCCTGCTGCGAGGGAGGGATCCAGTGTGGTCTTTCAAGAAAAAGTGACCTGCCCTGTTTCTGCCCAGTTGTGTTCTCTGCTTCTCCTTTCCTCATTTCTCTCCCCATAGCAGCAGTTGACTGACTCCGTCTCTCACCTGCCCCCTGCCAGCCTGCCTGGACGCTAGGCTTCGGGGGCTCCTGGCTGCAGCCCTTTCTGGTGTTCATTTCTTGAGAAGCGGGGGCAGCGGGGCGGGATGGCCTGGCCCGGGGCAGAGCTCTTCCATGTCTGGTGAGGAGGCTGTGGAGACCTCCAGTCTTTTCCAGCGGAGTTGGCTTGGACTCTGTTCCTTCTGCGCTGGGACCTGCAGCCTGGCCTGCTGTAGGGAGGTGGGTAGGGTAGGATCCCTCATCCCATCCTGTTCCACGGAGTACAACACCTTCCATCTTCAGGGTGACCTTGTCCACTAACTCAGTGCAAATTCAGGGCAGGACCTCACAGCCACTCTGCCAGGTAGAGACTTCAGAAGGTTGAGTCACTTCAAGTAGGTGGCAAGATCAGTAGTCAAAACAGTTCAGCATCTGACTTGATTCCAGTTTTTTTTGGTTTTTTTAAATTCCCAGTCAAGAGGCTCTTTGCAGCTGAAGTTTACCCAGGAGGGGAATATTGGGACTTATCTAAAAAGGACTGGGGGTCTTGAACCCCTTTGAAAGGCTGCCTCTCCCTTTTTGCACCCCCAACCCCTTGCTAATATCACAGCCTCGTCTCCTTGGTGTTTTTTTCATTCATTAGGTATGTACTGCCCGCCCGCTGCTACATGCTAACCTATGCCAGGTGCTGGGAAAACAGATTTCTGATAAAATCTTACACTCAAGAAGCAACATGTGTATTGTCCCTTCTGGGAGGGCTTGGGGCACTGGGAAGGTTGCCTGGGGTAGAAGGAGGGTCCCTGCTCTTCCTTCAGCTGCTCCTTCTTTTCTATTAACTTATACTGGTC